ACACACGCACACACACATTGTTACACTGCCTTGTGGAACAGATGCTCACACACGCACACACATGCACACACACACACACACGCACACACATTGTTACACTGCCTTGTGGAACAGATGCTCACACACGTACACACACGCACACACACACACACACACACACACGCACACACACACACATGCACACACACATTGTTACACTGCCTTGTGGAACAGATGCTCACACACACACGCACGCACACACGCACACGCACACACACACATTGTTACACTGCCTTGTGGAACAGATGCTCACACGCACACGCACACACACGCACACACACACACACACATTGTTACACTGCCTTGTGGAACAGATGCTGACGCACACGCACACACACACACACACATTGTTACACTGCCTTGTGGAACAGATGCTGACACACACACACACACACACACACACACACACGCACACACACATTGTTACACTGCCTTGTGGAACAGATGCTCACACACACACACACACACACACACACACACACGCACACACACATTGTTACACTGCCTTGTGGAACAGATGCTCACACACACACACGCACACACACATTGTTACACTGCCTTGTGGAACAGATGCTCACACACACACACGCACACACACACATTGTTACACTGCCTTGTGGAACAGATGCTCTCACACACACGCACACACGTACACGCACACACACATTGTTTCACTGCCTTGTGGAACAGATACTCACACACACGTACACACACACACACGCACACGCACGCACACACACACACACACACATCTTTTTCTCTTTCATATTGAAATATCGTATTGTTATTTTCATGACCTTAAGAATGGCATCTTTTTAACAATTGTCAATCTTGATTTTATATCTTTCATAAATAATGACAATTTCACAGAATTTGGGGAGTAAGCTACAAAGTAAAAATAATCATCTGTGATATCTTAGAAACATTTGTAATTATAGCTCCCTGAACTGTCAGTAAAGACTAAACAGTGATTGTAAACTACACAGCTCTTAAGATCTGAACAGACATTAAAATTTTAACTGCCATTGAAATCTAAACGGTGATTTCAACCCTAACAGTCTCTGATACTTTGGTCCTCGAATTGAAAGATAGACAACCACTGTAATTAAATAAATGATTGAACATGTGAATGTTCAGGGATTTGTCTGGGTCTTTGTGTTTTCTAATCCAGTGGGACCCGTGAAGATCTGGGGTAGAATAGGTCTTCAGCAAACCTTGCTTGCCGTAAGAGGCGACTAACGGGATGGGGTGGTCAGGTTCGCTGACTTAGTTGATGCATGTCATCGTATCCCAACTACTTGGATTCATGCTCATGATGTCAATCACTGGATTGTCTAGTCCAGACTTATTTACAAACCACTGTCATATAGCTGGAATATTGCTGAGTGTGGTGCTAAACGACAAACAAACAAACAAACAACGTCTAATCCAGTGGAGTGAGTGAGTGGTTATTCCCCAGGTTAACACCACACAGCCATCTTGCAACTGTTTGTGGTGGAGTCACAGTGATTAGTTTGGGGTTAGATGCGTCAACGGGCTACAGTCTGCCTCAATATGTGGCAACTTGAGTTTATCATGGCGTCCCCTTGGTTGAGCTACAGTCGGTCCTGTAATAAGGTAACTGGAGTTTATCATGGCGTCCCCTTGGTTGAGCTACAGTCGTTGCTGTAATAAGACAACTGGAGTTTATCATGGCATCCCCTTGGTTGAGCTACATCCGGTCCTGTAATAAGACAACTGGAGTTTATCATGGCGTCCCCTTGGTTGAGCTACAGTCGTTGCTGTAATAAGACAACTGGAGTTTATCATGGCATCCCCTTGGTTGAGCTACATTCGGTCCTGTAATAAGACAACTGGAGTTTATCATGGCGTCCCCTTGGTTGAGTACAGTCAGTCCTGTAATAAGGCAACTGGAGTTTATCATGGCGTCCCCTTGGTTGAGCTACAGTCGGTCCTGTAATAAGACAACTGGAGTTTATCATGGCGTCCTCTTGGTTGAGCTACAGTCGGTCCTGTAATAAGACAGCTGGAGTTTATCATGGCATCCCCTTGGTTGAGCTACAGTCGTTGCTGTAATAAGAGAACTGGAGTTTATCATGGCGTCCCCTTGGTTGAGCTACAGTCGTTGCTGTAATAAGACAACTGGAGTTTATCATGGCGTCCTCTTGGTTGAGCTACAGTCGGTCCTGTAATAAGACAACTGGAGTTTATCATGGCGTCCCCTTGGTTGAGCTACAGTCGTTGCTGTAATAAGACAACTGGAGTTTATCATGGCATCCCCTTGGTTGAGCTACAGTCGGTCCTGTAATAAGGCAACTGGAGTTTATCATGGCGTCCCCTTGGTTGAGCTACAGTCGTTGTTGTAATAAGACAACTGGAGTTTATCATGGCGTCCCCTTGGTTGAATACAGTCGGTCCTGTAATAAGACAACTGGAGTTTATCATGGCGTCCCCTTGGTTGAGCTACAGTCGTTGCTGTAATAAGACAACTGGAGTTTATCATGGCGTCCCCTTGGTTGAGCTACAGTTGGTCCTGTAATAAGGTAGCTGGAGTTTATCATGGCGTCCCCTTGGTTGAATACAGTCGGTCCTGTAATAAGGCAACTGGAGTTTATCATGGCGTCCCCTTGGTTGAGCTACAGTCGTTGCTGTAATAAGGCAACTGGAGTCCCTGCTCGTCTGGAGCATTAAACTGGACTGTTAGGGTAAGCATCAGCTCGGTGCTTTATGACTGTTTTATTGGCCATTGCAGGGAAGGTGAGGTTCCAACCCCTTCTCCAAACATGCCGGGGATAATACTTAAGGGGGAAGGATTTGCTGCCTTCTGATGCCACATTAACAAATGTAACAAGCGTTTTTTGTCTAATTGAGCACACGTTGTGCAAGAATTTGAATTTATGTGAAATTTGTGGCTGTCCAGAGTGTACGTGCTGTTGTTGATTGGAGTGAACGACAGGGGAACACATAAATCAGACTTCACTCTTACGGCACAGTGGCAGTGGAAGTTGGAGCTGATTGTTAGATTCTCATTTGGTTGGCTTTGTAGATTACGGAATGAAATATCATTTGGTGAGATTTTTATTTCAGTTGTACTGAGTTTGCCATATTGTGAGTTCGTGTGAGGCCGTCTTTGTCCTGTCAATACAATATTTAGCATTATATTTTGAAGTGGCCATGTTTCATGATACTTGTTGGCCATTGAGAGCTTTATGTGTGAGACTTTTACATCAGTTTTACAGAGTTTTAACAAATTGACATACTGAAAGCCGAGAGACAGACTTTGCACTATTTGGCACAGAGTTTTGAAATGCCCATATTTTGTGATTTTACATGCAGCCTCTAATTAAGCCAAATCACCTGTCCATTGTACTGGTCTCAACAAAATGGACAAAATACAGTGTATGGATCAAGTCCAGTGTTCAGTGTGCATTCGTCACCATTTCCGTAACCTGCAAGAAGACTTGTCCCCCTATCAATGAATGTTATGTGTGAAAATACGACAAAAAAAGCAATACAAAATGATGTTATCTCAGAAAGAACTACCATATTCGATGTAATAAGCGCCCAGGGCGCTCTCAAAATTAGAAATCAGGGGCTCTTATTGGATTATTATTTAAGTGAAAAAAACTGAGTTGAAAGATAAATTTCGTGGTTTATGCTGACAGCCTAAAATATTTATGTACGACAGATATATTTTTCCAGAATTTAATTGCCCATAATTAAGGGTGCATATAACACATGAGTGCATATTATACACGAATAAATAAGTCTTGTGTACATTGATCAATCGGAAGGGGTGCTGATTGGGATTGTTCAACGGCCAATATATCAGCAAATATCGCTGTGGGCGCTTATTACGTCGAATACGGCACATGACTCGGGGCTGCAACTCATGGTTTATTCTCCCTTCAGTATTTTCTTGTACAATAAACAACTCCCACTCCATGTTAAATTCGGAAGTATAATGAACTTTATTAGGATGGTAATGTTTTTTGTTTTATTTGTTTATTTGTTACTGTCAACGTTTATTTGGGACAAAAGGGGGAGGGGCAGGAGGAATGAATGAGAGGGTGTTGAGGATGTTGAGGGCGTTGAGGATGTTGAGGGTGTTGAGGATGTTGAGGGCGTTGAGGGCGTTGAGGATGTTGAGGGTGTTGTGGGTGTTGAGGGTGTTGAGGGTGTTGAGGATGTTGAGGGTGTTGAGGATGTTGAGGGTGTTGTGGGTGTTGGGGGTGTTGAGGGTGTTGAGGATGTTGAGGGTGTTGAGGGTGTTGGTTGGTTGGTTCTTCACACCCTGCTACCCATTTCAGTGTATGTGTGTGTCTTGGTGAGTGGGATTATTTACCTCCACTGGGATCACAGAATGGAGGAATATAATCCCAATCTCCTATTTCTATACACATGTATATTTCCAGAATATCAATGTTCATTATTATGTGGGGGGCACGAGTGGCCCAGTGGTCTAAGGCGCCGCAATTCGCTGTGCACTTCGGGCTTTCCTCCCACATTAAGCTGACACACCGCGATATATAACTGGAATAATGTTAAAAGCGGCATTAAACCAAACTCACACACTCACTCACTCACTCACTCACTCACTCACTCACTCACTCACTCACTCACTAACTATTTAGTGGAGGCATGGGTGGCCCAGTCCTGTGCAGAGTTGCGTCCCTTGGGCTTGCCAGAATCCTATGATTGTGGGTGGGAATCCTGGTTCGTCCCGATTATGTTTCTAGGTTTGTCAGCACCATACCCGTGCTTGTGGGTTTCACCAAAGTAGTAAACGTCTGAGACCTGCATCACTTTGGGCTTTCCTCCCACGTGAAGCTGAAACGCTATGATATAACTGGAATACTGTTAAAAGCGGTGTTAAACCCAACTCACTCACTCATGAATTATTAGGTTGTTAAATCTTGTGGTATGTATATCTTTACAAATTGTTTTGTTTTGTTTTCCAGGAACATGGGTAACGTTTGGAGGCCAGGTTTCAGAAGAGGTATGGAGCTTGTCTTTTACTTATGCAGCCAAAAAATGTGCTTTAGATAGTGCCAGTGCATCCCTTTGTAGCATGAACTATTTAGACAATCTTGATAAGATCTGAAATTATGGACCCTGAAAACCAATATGTGATCAATTCGGGTTGGCATGTAGCAACAAGTGCCACTGTAGCATTGCAGAGTTACATCCCTCAGTTGTTAAAGGATCCACTGGCTCTCTCAGAACATGTTCATGGTTTCAGGGGGCGGTCGGGTAGCCTAGTGGTTAAAGCGTTCGCTCGTCACGCCGATAACCCGGGTTCGATTCCCGACATGGGTACAATGTGTGAAGCCCATTTCTGTTGCCCCCGCCGTGATATTGCTGGAATATTGCTAAAAGCGGCGTAAAACCATACTCAGTCAGTCAGTCATGGTTTCAGCCAAGTAGTGAGGCATTCGTCACACTAAGCAGTCCACTACAGAAGTGAGATCCCGTTCCAAGTAAAACAAACTCACTCACTCACTCACTCACTCACTCTCATTGTGGTCCTTGGTCTATCAGAACCATACCTTTCTTATAACTTTCATCAAATGTTTCACAAAATGTCTGCATCCCGGTCAATAGCTGACTCTAGTATGTGTCACAATCCATAGTGCTTCATGATGTGAGGGGTTGGTGGGGTGGCCTAGTGGTTAAAGCGTTCGCTCATCACGATGAAGGCCCAGGTTTGATTCCCCCCCATGGGTACAATGTGTGAAGCCCATTTCTGGTGTCCCCCGCCGTGATATTGCTGGAATTTTGCTAAAAGCGACGAAAAGCCATATTCACTTACTCATTCATGATGTGATGCATCTAGCCTTGCTGTAAGGCTGCACTGAAGGAAATACATGCCCATGTCAATCTTGATGTGATGCATCTAGCCTTGCTGTAAGGCTGCACTGAAGGAAATACATGCCCATGTCAATCTTGATGTGATGCATCTAGCCTTGCTGTAAGGCTGCACTGAAGGAAATACATGCCCATGTCAATCTTGATGTGATGCATCTAGCCTTGCTGTAAGGCTGCACTGAAGTAAATACATGCCCATGTCAATCTTGATGTGATGCATCTAGCCTTGCTGTAAGGCTGCACTGAAGGAAATACATGCCCATGTCAATCTTGATGTGATGCATCTAGACTTGGTGTAAGGCTGCACTGAAGGAAATACATGCCCATGTCAATCTTGATGTGATGCATCTAGCCTTGCTGTAAGGCTGCACTGAAGGAAATGCATGCCCATGTCAATCTTGATGTGGTGCATCTAGCCTTGGTGTAAGGCTGCACTGAAGGAAATACATGCCCATGTCAATCTTGATGTGATACATCTAGCCTTGCTGTAAGGCTGCACTGAAGGAAATACATGCCCATGTCAATCTTGATGTGGTGCATCTAGCCTTGCTGTAAGGCTGCACTGAAGGAAATACATGCCCATGTCAATCTTGATGTGATGCGTCTAGCCTTGCTGTAAGGTTGCACTGAAGGAAATACATGCCCATGTCAATCTTGATGTGGTGCATCTAGCCTTGGTGTAAGGCTGCACTGAAGGAAATACATGCCCATGTCAATCTTGATGTGATGCATCTAGCCTTGCTGTAAGGTTGCACTGAAGGAAATACATGCCCATGTCAATCTTGATGTGATGCATCTAGCCTTGCTGTAAGGCTGCACTGAAGGAAATACATGCCCATGTCAATCTTGATGTGGTGCATCTAGCCTTGCTGTAAGGCTGCACTGAAGGAAATACATGCCCATGTCAATCTTGATGTGATGCATCTAGCCTTGCTGTAAGTCTGCAGTGAAGGAAATACATGCCCATGTCAATCTTGATGTGGTGCATCTAGCCTTGGTGTAAGGCTGCACTGAAGGAAATACATGCCCATGTCAATCTTGATGTGATGCATCTAGCCTTGGTGTAAGGCTGCAGTGAAGGAAATACATGCCCATGTCAATCTTGATGTGATGCGTCTAGCCTTGCTGTAAGGCTGCACTGAAGGAAATACATGCCCATGTCAATCTTGATGTGGTGCATCTAGCCTTGGTGTAAGGCTGCACTGAAGGAAATACATGCCCATGTCAATCTTGATGTGATGCATCTAGCCTTGGTGTAAGGCTGCACTGAAGGAAATATGTGCCCATGTCAATCTTGATGTGATGCATCTAGCCTTGCTGTAAGGCTGCACTGAAGGAAATACATGTCCATGTCAATCTTGATGTGATGCGTCTAGCCTTGCTGTAAGGTTGCACTGAAGGAAATACATGCCCATGTCAATCTTGATGTGATGCATCTAGCCTTGCTGTAAGTCTGCAGTGAAGGAAATACATGCCCATGTCAATCTTGATGTGATGCATCTAGCCTTGCTGTAAGGCTGCACTGAAGGAAATACATGCCCATGTCAATCTTGATGTGATGCATCTAGCCTTGCTGTAAGGCTGCACTGAAGGAAATATGTGCCCATGTCAATCTTGATGTGGTGCATCTAGCCTTGCTGTAAGGCTGCACTGAAGGAAATACATGCCCATGTCAATCTTGATGTGGTGCATCTAGCCTTGCTGTAAGGCTGCACTGAAGGAAATATGTGCCCATGTCAATCGTGATGTGATGCATCTAGCCTTGCTGTAAGACTGCAGTGAAGGAAATACATGCCCATGTCAATCTTGATGTGGTGCATCTAGCCTTGCTGTAAGTCTAAACTGAAGGAAATACATGCCCATGTCAATCTTGATGTGATGCATCTACCCTTGCTGTAAGGCTGCAGTGAAGGAAATACATGCCCATGTCAATCTTGATGTGATGCATCTAGCCTTTCTGTAAGGCTGCACTGAAGGAAATACATGCCCATGTCAATCTTGATGTGGTGCATCTAGCCTTGCTGTAAGGCTGCACTGAAGGAAATACATGCCCATGTCAATCTTGATGTGATGCATCTAGCCTTGCTGTAAGTCTGCAGTGAAGGAAATACATGCCCATGTCAATCTTGATGTGGTGCATCTAGCCTTGCTGTAAGGCTGCACTGAAGGAAATACATGCCCATGTCAATATGATGTGATGCATCAATTAGAATATGTTTATGTGTTAACAAAGTGAGTTGATAATTTTCTCAATTAGATTTTGACTAAATAATAATTTCCTATGAGACTTAAGCAAGTCTATGATGCAGCCAGGAGGTACTGCAGCTGACCCGGCCTCCTCCTCATGAAACCAATCAACTCTTTCCTTCCCTTCTGGCATCCACTGCAGTACAGAATATAATGTCCACCAACTGGTAGGCCAAATAGTGTCATCATTTATGACTTTATCAGATTGTTGTGTCAGACAAAGACATGAAATCAATACAGATCGGAGGAGCTGAATGTGAAGGGAAGTGTTTTCCTCTGTAAGGTTGTCATGGAGTCAATGCCTCTCCTCCGGAATATCTCAATTGTGATGGTGGTTTCATTGGGTTGTCTGTGTCCATGGCCCACGTCCACTCCCACTCCCGCTCCCGCTCCCACTCCCACTCCCACTCCTACTCCCACTCCCACTCCCACTCCCACTCCCACTCCCACTCCCACTCCTACTCCCACTCCCACGTCCGCCCCCTCTCCCACCCCCATGCCTAGCCCACGCCAATCTCCATGTCCCAGCCATCGCTCACTCCCATGTCCACTCCCACGTCCACTCCCACGTCCACTCCCACCCCCATGCCTAGCCCACGCCAATCTCCATGTCCCAGCCATCGCTCACTCCCACTCCCACTCCCACTCCCATGCCCACGCCCACTCCCACTCCCACGCCCACTTCCACTCCCACTCCCACGCCCACTCCCACTCCCACTCCCACGTCCACTCCCACTCCCACTCCCACGTCCACTCCCACTCCCACTCCCGCTCCCGCTCCCGCTCCCACGCCCACTCCCACTCCCACGCCCACTCCCACTCCCACTCCCACTCCCACTCCCACTCCCACTCCCACGCCCACGCCCACTCCCACTCCCACTCCCACGCCAACTTCCACTCCCACTCCCACTCCCACGCCCACGCCCACTCCCACTCCCACTCCCACGCCCTCTCCCACGTCCACTCCCACTCCCATGTACACGCCCACTCCCACTCCCATGTACACGCCCACGCCCACTCCCATGTACACACCCACGCCAATCTGCATGTACCAGCCCAGGCCCACGCCCACGCCCACGCCCACGCCCACGCCAACGCCCACGCCCATGCCCGGTTCCAACGTCCACTCCCACTCCCACGCCCACGCCCACGCCCACGCCCATTGCCATGTCCACGCCCACGCCAATCTCCATGTCCCAGTCCACGCTCAGGCCCACTCCCACGCCCACGCCATGCCCACTCCCACACCCACGTCATGCCTACTCCCACACCCATGTTCACGCCCACGTCAATCTCCATGTCCCAGCCCACGTTCACGCCCACGCCCACGCCATGCCCACTCCCACACCCACGTCCACACCCTATCCCATATCGATGTCCATGTCCCAGCACACGCCCACGCCCACGCCCACGCCCACGCCCACGCCCACGCCCATGCCCTCTCCCTTACCAGTCACCAATCACCATAGAACAGGTCCTCAGCAACCTAATTTGCTTGTGATCAGAGGCGACTAAAGGGATCGGGTGGTCAGGCTCGCAGGCTCTGCATGTCATCGTGTCCCATTCACTTACATCAATGCACATGAAATTAATCATGCACGTGACCACGCCCCTAACACCCACTCACTCCCACTCACTCCCACTCACTCACTCACTCACTCACTCACTCACTCACTCACTCACTCACTGTCAGCATGCCCAATTCAGGCAGATGCCTTCTGTCTGTACATTCCCTGGTCCCAGTACTGTGCTGAGGGGTCAAGCATCAATCTGCCTCTCAAAGTTGCTAGAACAATCAATATCTTACATGAATGTATTTGCTCAGGTCTGGCCGCGTAGTTGAAACATTCCTCGCCCCGATGGAAACCAAGTGACTGTTCACTC